TGTATTTTTCTAGCTGTTTGTGTTTTCTTCAGTACAATATGGAAACGGAAGCTTGTAATGTATTTGTATTTTATTTGCTTGCTTATACAGCGAGGGGAGAACTATATACATTGGCGGTTTTATCTTTGCAGCTTCTAAAGYCATTTAACTTTAGTTGTGTATGTGMGTTATTAAAAAAACTTTGCATTCAAAAGGAGTTCGTAAATGATGTTTATAGAAAACATTTGCATAAAAAGCGTCATTATCGTGACATCTAAGGTCAGTTGCGCTTTCTAAGAATTTAAACAGACATATCGTTTAGAGTGCACGCACTAAACCCGTGAAACAAATACTAATTTTCAGTACTAAATAGTGGTAATCAAGCAATAGAAAACAAAGGATTCTGTATGAATTACTACTAATTAGTACTAAATATATATTGTCCACGGATTAAGTGCGTACACTCTATTCTCATTTGATGTCACCCTCACCGCGTGTCTTTTCTGTTCCGGATCGTTTGCTTGCTTAGTTTGAACAGTCAGTGACTTATGACCTGTAAACAAATCGTCCCAAAATTTTTCTTTCTTTTCTGTTCCTTATTTCCCCTTACTTTTTTAGCTGTTCTTTTCTTTWGGMTTTTCTTTTTCTCTTCTTTCCTTCTTACATGTAACATTCAAAGGCTGCTATAAAATTTGTCGAGCCATGGTATGTGTATGTATTGTAGGTTAAGTGTTTTTGTAATGGCGTTTTTAGTTTTAGTCCTTTAGCAGCAAGTTTAGTTTGGTTACAAGTCATTTGTATAGCCTTTCCTATGCAATGACACCCGAAAAAAACTTCAAATATATTGATACCCTGAAACGACCTCTGGGTTAATCTAAGTCAGGGCATGGCTAACGCACAGATTGAACCCTGAAACGACCTCTGGGCTAATCTAAGTCAGGGCATGGCTAACTCATAATAGAGGGAGAAAAGTAATGATGTTAATGATATGAACTTTTACAATTGGTATCTATTTTCCCATCAAGAAAGTAATGTTGTAGGACGTTTTCGCGCCATTTTCCCTCCGAGCAAAAAGCGTTGATAAAATAACTGTTTTCATTCAGGTACTTTTCCAGTGTTCCTCACATCGCTGGCTCAAACGAAAGTCACCAACAAGCAGTCTACATAAAGAATCGTCTCAAAGAAGACTTCGGGTTTGACAGCGCAGAGCTGAAACGCTACGATATTTTACTGTCATATCCAAATAAACCWGGAATAGTGTCAATGTTAAGCCAGAATGGAAGCGTCATGTCGACGTCTAAGCCTTACGAGAAGATACTTGACCCGGCGGAGAATGATTCTCGCGTTGTCAGTCCATTTAATGCGTACTCGCCGTCAGGTAACGTCAAGGTAATAGAGCTTATTCTATATCTAGGGATTGTTTTGTCACTAGTCTTTGTTAAAATTTTTACATACAATAAC